GAAAAGTTTCTGAAAAAAACAACCTTTTTTAAATCTAAATGTTGCTGTTTTTCAAACGACATAAGCTATCTTTTCAAACTCTATTTTCATTATTATTAAAACAACAAATAAATGCATTTATTGAAGTCGAAAAATGAATGAAGTACAATTAACTTTTCTCAATAATACAACGAGTTGAAAACAATCATAAATCGGATTTTCTTTCCTGATCTGTTCAATCTTCTTACCAGCATCTTCATACGGAACAACACCGTAAACGCCAAAGTAGAAAATGAATCTCGCTCAAAATGCAAGTACGGGGGTGGCGATTTATCAGAACAGTTGCAGTAACTTGGGAATTGAATAAACCGAAAAAATGCACTTATTTAGAGGGTGAAGTCGGAAAAATTTTTGCAAAACTGAAGAATCTAAAGATAGTTCGGTTCGTTCGAAGAAATCATATCATCTTCAAACTGACCAGCTAGAAAACAACTTATTTATTCCGAGAAACTGCACATATTCGTAATTCGACCCTATCTTCCTCATATAATAACGCTACACGTCTGTCTGTCCTGATGAAGACCTGCCTACTTTTGAAAAGCTTGAAAATTGAATATAGATTTGCGTGACCCTTCTAGAAAAAATGAGAAGTGATCTGCAAAATATTTCAGCTTATGAGTTATCCAAGAATGAGTTCAGTCTGTTCCTTCAGTAGATTTCCTTCTTTGAAGTTAATTAAACCACGCATTTTACAGTATCCGATTTTCAAAAGTTCCTGGATTTTTTGTCTTTCGAGAATCGTCTGTTTCACATGACCTAACTATTTGTTTTCGATTTCGATGTATAATTGTTGATTCGGCTTTTTTTCACAAAATCCAAAAATTTATGTCAATAATTCATTCAAATAAATACAAAAAATAATTAGCTTTCTAAAAAACAACCCGCGGGGTAAGATAACATTTCATTTTCTGCAATCTATTCAGCCTTCTTATCAGTCTTCTTCTCGGCATTGAACTTCTTGCCACCTCCCTTGATGTACGATTGGTAGTAGAAGTTTCCGAACAGAACGACGTAAGAGATCTCCATGAGCAGGCAGAACCTGGAAATTGGAATTTTCAGATGAGTCGAAATTTTCTAACTTGTGAATCTGGAATATGTGATTTTGAAAAATGTCCCATGTGCGGTATAATATTTCCTGTGGATGTGGAGACAAATTAACACTAGCTGGAAACTGTAAAAATATTGAAAACTCACCAATAGTATCCTGTAGTAGAGTCAACGGATTGTCCAGTCATAGCCAAGTATCCAACATGGAAGAGAATGAAATGAGTGATGACGAATTGAAGGATTTGCATTGTTGTAATGTTTCTAGCAATCCATGCTGGAACCTTGACTCCGAAAGATCTCAACATATAATATCCGTACATAATCGAGTGAACAGAGAAGTTCATCCAAGTGATCCAAGTATTAAATCCTAGGTTAGCTTCGAAAGACATGAATGCGTAGTTCATGGTAAGTACGTGATGGTACCAATGGAGGAACATCAATGGCTTCTTGCGAAGAACAATGAACAGAGTGTCTCCAAATTCGGCAACTTTGGAGAGGACAAAAAGCCAAGTGAAGAATCCAGAAAATCCATTGTAAAAGTCTCCAATGTGGATGTAGGACTCGAAGAATCCACGGGTAACGAACTCGTGAAGAAGGCCGAAAGAGGTGAAAACGGATCCGGCTGTAGAGAAGATGGCAAGAGCGGCATTCCAATAGTTCAAGGGACCAGTGAGCTGAAATTTGGGAAATTTGACTAACAATTTGTTTGGACGAGTGAGCTGAAATTCAGAAACAATGTTTCACGAATTTCATATATTCAACTACTGGTTAACAATGCAATGTGATTGTTTCTTAAAGGATTACTCACATCAAATGGTTTTCTATTAACCATTGCAGCCTTGATTCCAAAAATCACCACCACATAGGCCATTGAGATCCAGAAGGCTGGCCATTGAGTCTGGGCAATGTGCTTTTTGGACAGTTCGTGACTGAATGGCCAAGACGTGGCAACTTCCAAAAAGGAAACTTCTGGCATCTTTACCTGCAAAGCAAATGACTATGAACAAGAAAGAGAACTAAGTCAAAAAAGGGCGGAGTTTCCTAAGGGTACAAAGTACACGGGATCCTCTTGGTAGACGAAAAGGATACACAAAAAGGTAGAGCAAACATTTTGGAGCATCTTGGTCACAAAACACGGTCACTTTATACCATTTTCTGCGTCTCCCTACGAGAGAGTACCGAATGGTGGTCTGATTTTTTTGAAGAAAAGGGAGAGACCAGAAAAGAGGGGGCGGAGCTTCTTGATTTTGAAAATTCGTATGGCAAGTGGGGCGATGGAAGAGGAGAGAGAGGCAGAAGAGTGATGTTTATGGGTTTTTTGGAGGAGAAAGAAAATGTTATCTATCCTATTCAGAACACACAATGTACGGTCAAAGAATTGAAACGAAAATATTTGAGAGAGAAATGGAAAATAGCTTTTTCTGATAAAACGGCGTCAATTCAAGTGAGGCAAATCCTATGAAAACTTTAATAAGTTGTTATAGAAACAGGAAAAATATTTTGAATTAATTTTATGTTTTCAGGGGATAATTAGTTAACAAGGACCACAAAGTCTCCTCCAAGCTGTTTTTATCCATTTAGAGAAAATAATTCAGTCAGTTTTTGAAACAGAGCAATTTTGAAATTACCGTATTTTCTCTAATAGCCTACCTCTGATAGAAGCATACCATTCTGCGTACTTTATAACATAGCGTTAAAACGAGCAACACTGAAGAGATAACATCAATCTTCAGAATATCAAAATCTTGTAACAATAGAAATTCCGCACTTCGGAAGTTTTCTTTTGTAGTCTTGATCTCTTGCGAACAATTCTAAACCTATTGAATTTCACTATAAATTTAATTTTCCCTGTTTCAGTTAACTTTTATGTCAAATGTTCGATTTTGTTACGATATTGCAGAGATGACTCGAAGTTTATGTCATTTTTTTACTATCCCAGTGGAAAGGAAGCAAGACGTCCCAGCCTAATAGAAGAGCCTACAATTTTGCGGTTTTTGCGAATTTCAGAATTTTGGCTTTTTGTTTAAAATGATTGGCTCAGGCTGGAACGTCTCGTTTTGATTCTATAATTGTTCTTTTTAATCTTTTTTCTTTAGTATTTCAGTTAGCATCTCTTTATTCTGTTGTCATTTTTTTTCCAATCGTTTTGAACAATTTTTGGATGGTAACCGTTTAGAGACTATGCATGTATGGAAATTGATTATATCGAAGAGGTAAATCCAGTTTTCAGAATATGAACATTCTGTAACAGAAAAAAATTCTCATTTCCGAAGTTTGCTTCTGTAGTCTCGATTTCTTGTTAACGATATTCATCGAATCTAATTTTTTATAACTTTTTTTTCTCGTTTCAGTTAACTTTTAGCTCGAATTATCAATTTATTACAATATTATAATAACGTTTAAAAGAGTTTTAATCAAAATGTTGAGTTTGGAGTCATTTTCAGGTGTCCCAATAGAGAGAAAACAAAAAGCGTTTCAGCTTAATTGAAAGCCTATAATATTTTTTAAAAAACCAAAAATGCAGAAAAAAAGTATAAATTGTGCGCTTATTTTTGTGAATTTCAGAACTTTTCGATTGATATTTTGTTTCAGAATATTTTCCTGATTTTTTTAAAGTACATCCAGAAAATGGCGCTGAATGCAAAAATTTGAGTGCTAAACTCTACAGTTTATTTACTACAGTATACCAGGGAACAATTTGTTTACAATTTTGACAATTTTTCAATATTCAACACAGCACCACTTCATTCGGGGGTCGGATTTTGTTTGTCGATCATTTTGGGCATGAATAATGATACTACTAACAACACTGAAGAAATAACTTTAGCACAATAAGAACATTCTACATATAACAGTGAAAATTTCTGAATTCTTCCAATTCGCTCTTTTAGTCTTGAGCTCTCGTTACCGAAATAATTGTTTCAGTTTTTTTCTATAACTTCAATTTTCCCTGCCCCAGTTAACTTTTATCTCAAATGTTGGTTTATTACGATATTCCGAGTTCGAGTAAGGAATGTTTAAAGGATTTTATTACTAAATCTGTTTCCGATTCGGCATTATGGTCGGGGGCCACCCCATAATTCTGAAGTTAACGTCATTTTCAGGTTTCCCAGTGGAGTGAAAGCAAGGCGTTGAAACCTAATAGTATGCATGCAATTGTGAACAAATAACGAAAAATTCTGAAAAAAAATTTCAGTGAAAACAGTTTCAGAATATTTTGCTTTTGTGAAATGGCGCCAAATACAAAAAATTTTGAATGATCCAATTTTTCTATAGAAATCAGCCATCGCACTTGGGTTCAAGCGAGGGGGTCAGAAAGCGCGCCCCAGTAAATTTTTCAAAAGTTCTCAATTCGCTGCCGAACTTCGTTGGCTGAGTATCTCAGTTTTAAAGGATGAGCGAGAATACGCGCGTTGCAACCCGTTGATTTTTAAGAAAGAGATCATGATCTAGTTCAAACCCGCGTTCATTTTAAAATTATTAAATTTCTTCTGGCCTACGAGTTTGCTGGGGCGCTTTTTCTGACCCCCTCGCTTGAACCCAAGTGCCATCGTTGAGTAGGAAACTGGTAAGAAATTATGTATTAATTCAAGAAAATCAAACAATAAATTCAGTATTGAAAATATGAATATTCTGTAACAGTCGAAAATTCAAAGTTTGAACCAATTCCCTTATTTATAGTTTTTATATTGTAAACTGTTTTTCAGAATTTCAAACTTGTGGTACAATTGTGTTTTCCGAATTTTTTTCAGTCACTTTTGTCTAGTTTTTTTCAACTTTTCTGACTAGGGAACTATCTGAGCATGATTCCAAGTTGCAACTCCTGATCTATATCATTAGAAAGCCCATGAAATTCTGAATCGCAATATGTTTTTTGTTCTTTCGAAACGGCCGTGAGCTTCGAGAAAATTAGGTAAAAAGAAAATTTTTAGTTGATTTCAAGGCTGTGTTTGGCTTCTTAAATTTGAAATAAAAAAATAACGTGTCTCGCCTCAATTTTCAATTCAAAGTGATTCTTAGAAATCAACTGAAAATTATCTTTTGACCTAATTTTCTCGAAGCTAACCGCCGTTTCGCAAAAAATTCGGCCCGGCCACAGCCGTTTCTCTTCCAATTTTATTGAAAAAAAAATCTCTAAGTTCCCGATCTTATTCAAGATTGAAATACTTTAGATTTTCGCAAAACCTGACAAAACGTTTTCAAAGAAGAAAAACCAATAAATTTGTTTCCCGGGAAAATTTCCCCCGAAGGCCTTTGTGATAGAATCTTTTTGCAGATTCTTCTCGAGGTCATTTTTGTATTTTTGTTTGTAAATTTCACTGAAAAAAATGTCCGGAAAATCAAAGATCTTCTTTATTTATGCAAAAATTCGAAGAAGTTCATGTTAGAACTCATCGAAAATTAGAAGTAACATGTACAAAACTTCTACTATCTGAAGAAAAAAAAAGAACAAATCTTGCAAAAATCAAATTTTTCGCAACAAAAAAAACACGAAAACACGAAATTTCACTGATCACTTTCAGTTCCGTTCCATCCGACATTCACATGAATCGTCATTCTTTGCGCTCGCTCCGCTTCTACTTTTTTATTTTTTGCCGCTTATCAGTGATTTCTGCTTTGATGGCGAGTGAATGGTGTGACAAAAAATAACCTGATGATTACTCAAAAACTTCTCTAGTTGCAATTTTATCTTTTAAAAAAAGAGGAGAAAATCGAGGCGAGGGGTCTAAATGAAAGAAACGAATAGAAGTCTGACAGGAAATATAAATTATTAGTCTGAAAGCAATCGAATTTGAAAAAGAGGATCACACAGTTGAAGGAAAAAAAGGGAATGACTAGACGATATTATCAGATGAGATGGGGATTTCAGATGAATACTTCGTCAATTATCGAATACTGAGCACGTCCCGGTTGTGGAATGAATTCGAGCCAATCAGAGGGTGTGTTGGGGAGAAGGCCCATTGTGTGTACTTTGTAGATGGCAAGACCGATGGCACCGAGGTTTCCGAGACAGAAGATCAGCTTGTGGATAATCATGGCTCCGGTGGCGGGGCTCTGAAAAGAAACACGTGGATTTTGAATGTTTAACTTCAACTTTTAGTTGTAATGCGCTCTTTTAGGTCATGATACCTCTAGTGGCTTGAACGTGGAATTAACGGAGAAAAGGGCTTTGAGCGGCCTGAAAAGCATCATTCCGACCATCATAATTGGGAAAATCGATACGCCACCACCGGCCATGTACATCATGAACATGTTCATCGGCAGCGACTTCGCAGGTCCCATCGCAGTATCCCACGCTCGCTTCCTAGCCAAATGCTCGTGTTGATCGGCGGATCGTTCAGCGTCGGCCTGAAATTTTTTAGAATTGACATAAATTATGCGATAAAAGACTCACGGTGTGCTGAATAGTAGCTGCTGACGAGTAAAATCCAGGTGGATTGAAGTTGCTATCCGACGTGCGGCAGCTTTTCGAAGAATAGCTGTAGTCAAGTTTCCACTGCGACAGCGACATTCTGAAATTATAATTTACCGTTTTAAGAACTCAGAAAATCGAAAAAAAAGGAAGAAAAGCTAAGAAAACCACATTTGTGGAATGGATTTTTTCGAGAGCGAAACTGAATTTTTGATTGTTTTTCAAGGAAAACACTGCATTTTTTTCAAAAATTTATGCGTTTTTTCATCTGCTTCGTCATAAAAATTCGCGAAAATTCAGTTTTAAACATACTTGTAAAATTCCGGGCCGGCCCGCCAAAGCCCGGGCCGGGCCTGAGGAAATTTTCAAGGCCCGGGCCCGGCCCGGAAGGCCCGGTAGCAAAAATTTTGTCATTTTGAGACAAATTTTGAGCTCTCAATACAATTTTCTACATTATTTTTTGTGTTTTTGGATTGTTTGTCTGTTTGATCAAAAAATATTTTAAAAACTCGAAAAAAAATTTTTGATCGAAAAAAATCACATAAGGGTCCCCCCTTATGTGTTTTTTGAAATTTTCAAAACTTGTGGAATGACAGGCCCGGCCCGTTACAAGTATGGTTTTACAGATGAATTCAACGCAGTCAAAATTATGCAAAATCAGCGACCAGAAAATCGATAAATACGCCAGTTGCGTTGCTGGCGCGCTTTGTGATTTGTGTTAGCGCACTTCTCGGGCGCATAGGCAAATTCAAAAAAAATCGCTTCTTGACCAATTCTCCCCTTTTTTTGCTTTTTTCTTCACTAATTCTTGTCAATTTCCAGAAAAAAAAATGAGCGGAGCAGTTTACGGAGGAGGTTCGTTCGATATCTATCTCAGAATTTTAGAAAAATCGATTATTTTTAGATGAAGTCAGCGGATTGGTGTTCGACGCCGGCTCGCAGTCGTTCCGTGTTGGATTCGCTGGAGAAGAATATCCAAAAGTAAAATTTTCAAGATTCAAAAAGTAAAAAACGTTAAAATATCTATTCCAGGGAGACATCCCGTCGTATATCGCGGTTCAAGAGCCACTTCCCGATGAGGTTATCGAGAAAGACGAAGCAATGGAAGAAGGAGACACCTCGAAAGTTCAGACGAAGCGTGAGAAGAACTTCTTCATCGGTACCACGAAAATCATCGTGCCACGAGCCAGAACCACTATGGAGAATTTTATGAAGGAAGGATTGAGTGAGAATTAGAAATTAAGAAAGATGTTTCATTCAAATTTTTTCAGTCGAAGATTGGGACTTGTTCGAGAAGATTGTAGAGCACTCCTACGAGAATATACTCTACTCGAACCCTGCCGAACATCCGGTTCTGTTCTCTGAAAGCGCGTGGAACGACCGCGCTCGTCGTGAGAAGCTCACCGAGCTGATGTTCGAAAAGTTCCAAGTTCCGGCCTATTATCTCTCGAAGAACGTGGTTCTTTCCTGCTTTGCTCAAGGTAGAACTCATGGATTGATGGTGGATTCTGGAGCCAGTCAGACGTCAGTCGTCCCAGTTTTCGATGGATACGCCATCACCCACGCCGTGGTGAAGTGTCCATTGGGAGGGGACGTTATTGCCGATCAGTTGGCTCATATGCTCGAGCAACAAAAGGTTGATCTGGTTCCAACATATAAAATCGCTGGAAAGGAAGAGGTCAACGAGGGAGATCCACCAAAGTGGACAGCGAAGAAGAATCTTCCAGAAGTCACTCCGAGCTACGATAAATTCATGAAGAAGATGATTCTCGAAGATATGGCTGCTAGTATGCTTCAGTTATGTGACACCAATATCGATATGGAATACGTGGATAAGCTTCCATCAACACCCTACTCGTTCCCCAATGGATTCACCGAAGAGTTCGGAGCTGAGAGAATCAAACTTCCAGAGTGCCTGTTCGATCTCTCTTACCTCAAAGCAGACATGAAGAGGGAGGGATTAATGACGGTCGCTCAGATGGCAGCTACCTCTGCGAATCTTGCTGATATCGATATCAGGCCGACTCTTTTCTCTAACGTAACGGTGACTGGAGGAAATTCGCTAATTCTTGGATTCACCGAACGTCTTAACTATGCTCTCGCCACAAAGTGCCCACCGGTAAGAATCCTTTCAAATTATTTCAATTAGGAATTCTGAATTCCAGACCATCAAACTACGTGTGTTCGCTGCACCAACTCAAGCCGAACGAAAATACGGTGCATGGATCGGAGGATCCATCCTCGGGTCCCTCGGAACCTTCCAACAAATGTGGATCAGTAAGGCGGAGTATGATGAGACTGGCAAGACGATTGTCGACAAGAAGTGCCCGTGATCCTGAATGAATTTATTTTATGTCCCCTTAATTCATCAATCATCAAGTTTCGTGTATTTACCCTCCCCTATAAAATCCCTTATATCGATCTCAACTATTTCTGAGAGAGCTGATGTTTTTTTTTGTTCCATTCTTTGTACGATTCTCTGTATTTTCTATTTTCTCTACTCCTTTTTTATTTATTCTCCTATTTATTCTAATATGAAAGCATCTCCCATTTTTTTATTGTCATTTTTAGTGTTGTGGATTTTACCCAGAGTTTATCGAATCCCCGCACTAGGAGCACTAGGAACTCCCACACTCTGAACATTATCTATTTTCTGATGTTCTTCACATTCCTCCGACGACTACATTGCAACGTCAGCAAAGATGAGGTTTTGTACATTCGGAGAGACGAATTCGAGGAGCCGATCAAGTCAGAATGGGTTTTAGAAATGCAGAATGTCGAGAAATACAAGCCAAATGGTATTTGAAATTTTGAACTCTGAAAATCAATAAATTTATTCAGGTCCCGTGCTTCCCGATGGTTCCATCAACTGGCAATGCGCATGTATGGCTGGCGGCTCTTTAGTAGCTCATAGGTCTGGAAATTACGCTTTTATTTCGGTCGGATACCTAGAAAATTCAAAAAATTCAAAAAAATTTCGTCGTAAAAAAATGCACGCAAACACTCTGACGCGCAAATGCACAATTTAGGTTAGCTAAATTTCCCGACCGAAACGGAAGCTTTAGCTCGGAAATTAAAGCATATTAAGCCACAAAAAATTTTTTGCAGATGTGGAAATTATTTTCGAGAACTGTACGTTTGTATGAAAAGCGACGACACCCGGGATCCGTCTGAAAAATGTCCGACACAATTTGTGAATTGGGCGGCGTGTATGCAGAATATGAGTGGTAAAAATGGATAATTTTTCATTAAAAAAGGCTTCAATATGAGCATAAACACGACTAGTTTCTCTCAAACTCGACACTTTTTGGGTCCCACCACGAAAACTACAGTAATCCAATAATTGTTCAGAATCTGGTCGTGTTTATAGGCTCATTTTAAAGCTCTGAACAAGAATAAACGAGTTTGATGGCAAAAGCTCGGAAAATAAGCGAGGTATGGGAAAAAAGCATACGTTCCAATTTTTCTGAAATTCTGAAATTTCGATTTCTAGTGTACATATTCTTTTCTGGCTAGCCCTGAACTTCAAAATGAGCCTAAATACGCCTATATCCCCTTAAAATTGGCAAATTTTGGGTCCCACTACGAAAACTACAATAAACAGAAAAATGGGCGGAGCTTAGTCGAATTTAGGCTCATTTTGAAGTTCTTGAAATTTTCGAAAATTTTCAGATGAACGACGAGAACAGATGCGAAAAGCGATGACCGAGGAGTCTGGAGATCTCAAAATTAGTGAAAAGCAATAATTTTCTTGATTTTTGAATTATTTAGTTTGTAATAAATTTGTTTTTTTCCTTTTTTTAAAACATATTTTTATTCAATTCTCAGAAAGGGTTCTTCCAATTTTGTATTTTTTAAAATCACTAGCCAACACATTTTTCACTAAAACCCGACAAAACCACCATTCAGATGACAAAAGAAGAGATTCTGAAAATTCCACGAGAGGAGTTCTTCAAGTCGGTCAAAATGGAATATCGAAGGTACTTCGAACCGTTTGTGGAGCCAGGTACCACCGGAATATCCATTTTTCCGTTGAAATTAAAAGAAATTTCCAGAATCAGTGTACCCGGATGGGCGTGTGAATATCGACTGTCCGTGCCTTCATTCGGCACTCGCACACCGGTGTGGATATTTGATTAGGCAGGCGTTGGTGTTAGTTTTACTGATGATTTTGGAAAAATCCCAGATTTTTCTCATTTTTTCGGAACGAATTTCCAAAAGTAGCAGTTTTGGAGATTTTTTTAAAAATCACAGATTTTACATTTGTCTAAAAACGAATTTCAATAAAATTTGCTTTCAGATGCTTTAACGCTTCCAAGACAACGCCACGTGGCATGGACTGCGAGAAGGAGTTTGTGACACACGCCATTTGTACAGAAGAGGCGAATAGCCAGAATTAAAACATTCTAATAGTTTTTGTGATTTTGTTTGATTTTTGAATGAATAATAGAAACTAAAATTGTTATTGTTTGAAGCAAAAACTGATTATGGGTTTTGATTTCTGGCTTTGGAAAAATGAAGGTCGAGACTCTCAGTTTTCAGATTCTATTAGGTTGGCAACTAAGTCTTTGTGCACTTTTGTTTTCCTCTTTTCTCTTAACTAAACTAGAACAATAATATGTGTGTAACCGGATATGGTATATAAGATGATAAGGTTGAACACAATAACCATCATTTGCCCTGCTCTCATTCCGCCTGCGAACGAGATGCCCCTTTTGATACCTATTGTTTTTGGGTGAAATTCCTGTTTGATGACGTCTACTGGCTGTTTATCGAAGTCAAGACATTGGGCTTTTCTGTGATGGTTAGTATATAAGACCCTCTTTTTATCTGAGGTGATAACATTATTCAGCCGCTTAAAGTTCCCGAGTAGAGTAAGAAGTTGCATGTTCATGTCCAATCGCTGCTGAACATCAAAACAGGTCAAAACAGGGAGGTATCCGCCGTCCAAGTTTTTCCGTCTTTCCCAACTTTAACAATAGTGGTATGGGTTGTCCCATTTTCAATAGTGGTATGGGTTGTCCCTAAAGTGATTGACATTTAACGGGTAGATTGGAAAGGGTCCCGTTCTACTAGGGCTTTTTCTGTGATGGTTAGTATATAAGTGATGGTTAGTATATCTCACTTGTCTGAATCTTGAAGAACTGGTTCCCGAGGCAAGTTTCATGTTTCATTGAAAAGTCCTGGTTCTTGAACTTGCCAACCCAATTCACAACGGTATTTCTATGGGGACTTTATCTTTGTAAACTTCCAACAGGTGGTGATGAATATCGGATACTTTCAGGTTAGAAATAAATGTAAACAATATACAGAAATTTCACCCAAAAAACGTCGGTTTGAAAAAGGGAATCCCGTTCGCAAGCGGAATGAGAGCAGGGCAAATGATGGTTATTGTGAACAACCTTATCATCTTAAATACTACTCAGACAAGAATAAAGTTCCCGCCGGGGGGTTAAGGGAAGTTCCTGCCGCCTTTTTCATGAAAATCAAATGAGAATATTAACAAAATATAAGTTTTTATTATCAAAAGAAATTATTCTTATCTAACAACACTGGGGGAGTAACGAATAAGGCAGAAATAAGTGTTTCCATCAAACTGGATTGATAGGAAAGGAGATAAAACATCAGAAGTGGGGATCAATGTGAGACCAACTAGGTTAGTGCATGTAACTATAAGAGAGTCACAATTATTGTCAGCAAAAAGTTTAGTTGACCTAGCCAAACGTTGCGTGTTCCGAGCTAATTTTGAAAAATCAAGTCTTACTAGGGAAGGTTGTAATCGGGGGGTGGAACTTCGGTATGAGACCTATATCATTCGAAAGCTTAGAATGAGACATTTTCAAACATGTATTCTGGTTTTGCTGAGGAGCTACCAGTTTCGAGAAAATCGGGTTCGAAATCTGAGAAATTGCAAATGCAAATGGGGGACCCCATGGTGATTTTTTTGCGAAAATTTTTTTTTTGCAAAAAAAAAATTGAAAACTTTAGGGGATTGTTCTCTTTTATTCAAAACTTATGAAATACTTATGTTATATGCTTTGAAAAACTTTTTTTGAAGCATTATTCAAACTACATTTTGATTTTTGAGAGAAAGACATTCGCTGATTGGTGAAAGATTTTGGAAGTTTTTTGATTGTAATTACAATTTCAAACGTTCCTCTACGATCTGGCAAAGTTTTCTCGATTTTACAGAAAAACTAATTTTGACGAAAAATATCCATGGGGTAAATGTGCTAAAACGAATTCTAAACAGACAGAAACTATAAAATGAGCCTTTTAGCAATAATTGGAAACTTTATCCTTTTCGGAATCGAGAGCTTTCACAGGTGAATTGCGCAGAACACTATATGGGCGCATTGTGGCCCATACTGTGAATGTGCGCATAGAGCGTTCGTTATGCCCGCTATATGGGTTGGTGGTTGCTGGTCGGTGGTGGTGGGCGTTCAGTTAACAGGGAAAGCATATGCCCCGTCCGTGCTCGCATATAGGATCTATATTCCGTAAACACTCTTATACAATGTGTCTCCGAACCGTTAGCATTGAGCCTATATATCTGGTTTCTTATAAAATATATCAGAAAGTTGTCAACTGACAAAATGTGTATTATGATATCAAAAGCATTTTGTCAGTTAACAACTTTTCAATATCTTTCACGGGAACTCAGATAAACTGGCTCAAAGTTGAAAGTTAAAAGGGAAGAAGTGGGCGATTCTATTAATGTGTTCATGGAATCCTGCTAGAACATTTATTTACAGAACAGGACAGTAATACAGAATACAATGTAATACAAAACATGTAATTGTTTTTTGCAGAAATAATAGCTCGAAACTCTCTTCTTGATATTCTCAGGATAAAATTTTTGGTTCTCAACGAATTGTATGTATGACTGTTTGACTATCGAAAAAACCGGTTAAAATCATAGTTTACCAAGACAGATATTGCCCGGCCCGGCCCGGAATTTTACAAGTATGTCCAAAAGTTCGTTTTAATAAAGTTTGAGTGTTGAATGTCTTATTCTTTCTTTGTTTAACTGTTCTCTGGTTTCCGAGACGGACAGGGGTTCACTACCCAAATGCCGTCTCGACAGATATAAATAACTTTCTTATATTCCAAATGTACAGGATACATTATCACATGAACTTTTTCAACAAAACAAAATAAAAACAGTGAAACAGTGATTAAATATTCCAGGAAATGCTTCTTTCTTTACTAATTGCTTTTTTCATAGACTCAAAGAGAATAACAAATCGCCACAGAGGAGTAATTTGATCTTCCGAAAACTCATCCCCTCTGAAGAATTGTTGCTCACTTTTCGAAACACTTTTGAATTTATGATTTCTTAAAATTTCCAACTTTCTTTTTCAATTTTCTCTGAAAAGACCCCAGACCAATTGAACGAGGTTAATTGAATTGAAACTCTCTGCTCTCTCCAGAAACCAATTTTCTGGTGTGACTCCAATCTTCTTTTCAATTTTCGCGAGCGCGCACTTTTTCTATTCTATTCTAGAAGTTTCTGACTTTTGGAGAGTACAACCTGATTGATGTGTGTTGCAAAAAATATACTAGAATAAAACTTTCTAACTAGATTCGTATTTTTCCTTACATTTTGATTAGCAGCTGTCACTTTCAGAAACTAGGAATAAGGAGAAGAGCTTCTTCTCCTTTTATTCCTTTTCGTTCTTTTAGTATTCATGAAGGAATCTGAAATTCAAGAGATAGAGAATGGATATTCCTCTCTACGGAATGTCTTTTTCTTAAAATTCTAGTTTCGCTTTTTCTATTAGTCTTAAAACAATGATGCTACTCTGAACTCCGATGTTATGCCTATTTTATAACCTTTCTGGAATAGTGAAGTTTCAGAATTTCATTATTTACTTCACCGTTTCTATTATTTAGAATAAACCTGAAAGTTAGAGCTTTTTGATAATCTTTTATTTAGCTTTCCTAATGATAAGAAGAACTCAGAATCAATGTCAGATTTCACTTGTCCTTTAACTTCTGGATAGGAAAAAGAGAGTTTAGTGTGATCTTCCATTGTAACGGCTTTCAAAAAAGTTTTCAGTTAGTTTAAAAAGTTATAAAATTTAAGATTATTTTCAGTTTCATAAAATTCATAAGGTCGGTCTTCTTTGTGACTTTTACTTCCAAGGTTGAACTGTCAAGAAATTGACTGATAACGGACAAACGTCAGGAGGTAAGGTTCGATCCGAATTTGAAATTTATAAACTTGAATAGCAGAAAATGTGTTTTTAGAAGTTTTTGTAATTTGGAAAAAGCTGTAGATTGAAAATACATATTTTTCTTGAAACTCAAGTTCGCTTATCCTTTTTTCTTCGGAACAATCCTTACTACTGTGAACATCGATGTAATGTTTGTTTTATAACCTTTTTGAGATAGTAAAGTTTCAGAATTTTTTTCCACCGTTTCAAATAATTTAGATCGGATATTAAACATAGGTCTTGATGATGACTTCAATACTGTTTGTCATGATAAGAAAATCTTAGAATCGGTGTCAGATTTCAGTTGTCCTTTGAATTCTGGATATGAAACAGAGAGTATAGTGTGATCTTAGAATGGTACGAGATTCAAAGTTTTAGTTGTTATCAATTTTTTTAAAAAGCTATTAAATTGAATTCTTTCTGTTTCATGCAAGTAACAAAATCTTTGTGACCGCTCATTGGTCGATTCGAGTCCAGGATGATTATCCATAAAATATACTTTTTTCCACAATTTTTTTTCTAACTGGCTTATTATGTGGTACAAACTCTCGTAGATTTGGAAGAGAAAAGCCGGTGGCAGTAGCCAAAGGTCGCACAACGAGAACTACAGTAACCTAAAAATATGTTTATTTTCCGGATTCATTATCTCGATTTCAATACGTTTTCAGCCAATTTTTCACTATCAAACTTTTCATTTTCCGACTTTTTGAGGAAAAATAACAGAAAACTGGCCAAACGCAGTAAAAAACCAGAAAATAAATCTCAAAAACATGTTTTCAAGTTACGGTAGTTGTTGCTGTGAGACCTTTGGCCACGACCATCTGCGTTTCTCTTCCAAAGCTCCGATTATTTGTACCAGATTAATAGTTACCAACGCTTATAAAATTTGAGATCATTTTCAGTTTCATGCAAGTGATAAGGTTTATGTGATTGTTTTCTTGGACGTTTGAATGATATTGACGAATGAGAAATTTCTGGAAGTAGACCAAAATCAGAAGCCAATACTTGATAGAACTCACTTGATCGGAATTTTAAATTTTTTAAACTTGAAGAGCAGAAAATGTGTTCTTTTGAACTTCTTCGCGATTAAAAAAATAACTAAATGAAACAGTTTTTTAAAATGCTCACCAGCACATGATGAGTTCTATCCTGCCGTACCTCCCAGAGATAATTCAAGGCATTACTGTGAAACCAAAATAATATGCTCTCTGAAAAAACGATTTCATCAGAATGCAGATACCATGCTCTAATAGAGGTCCACCCTATACTTGCACTTCGAGCTCGATTATCTCGGTTCCTATGAGAGATATCAAAAATCTGCTAACTGATAAAATATTGGTGATACTATGATAAATAATTTATCACTCGAAAACTTTTTGACATCTGTTGAAGGAATCTAGATAATTGAGCTCGAAGAGCACATAAATGGTGGGATTCTATTATAGCAAATACGGTACGATAAAAAATGTCTGTTTCAATCAGCTGAATTAAAGAAAGATTTGTTTGTTTAATGTTTCATCGGAAGATAATGTTTCATCGGAAGATAGGATTTTTTAACCATATTCTCAAAACTTTTTCTCTAGAACCTGTTAAATTTATTTGTTTAAAAAAAAAGTCGTAACAGATAAAATATTACTAAACGCAAAAGACCATAGTTGCGACGGCCCGGCCAGTTGGCGCCAGCTTCGATTTTTAGGCAAAAAAAGTGTGTTTTTTTTTGGAAAAAGTTGTTTTTATCATCTGTAAATGTTTAAACAAACTTTTGAAAAATATTTTTTTTTCCTGAATTTTTCCAAAGTTGAGATCGAAGAAAAAATTGCATTTTTGAAGTAAAATAACAGTTTTTTCTCAAAAATATTAAAAAAAAAAAAATTCTCAAAAATTTATCAAAAAAAAATGTTTTTTGATAAATTTCGATCAAAAAAATACCAGTCCGGGCCTTCCGGGTCTTCAACAATTTTCGCAAGTATGCAAAAAACGACTGGTTTTTGATAATTATTTGAAACTGTAGATAACTCTACGCAGTTATTTAAGAATTCAAAAACCAGTTAATTTTTGGACCGAAGTTTCAACTCTCCATTCCTCAAGATTAGTTTGATCCCATCCCATCTATTCAAACCCAATGACGTGAAATCTTCCAAAAAAAACCCAAAGATCATCTGAACCTAGATCTCCTAATCGATCATTCTCCAGCATCTCCAAAAAACACTCTTTGTCTTCTCTGTATTCCTATAATTAATGCCCTTATTCTGTCGAGCACTCCCTTCATTTCCATATCCTTTTTTTTTGAAGCATCTCTCCTTTTCTCTTACTTTTTTTAAACATATGTTTATGTATGTATATCCGTTTTTCTTTTTTCTTCTTCTTCGTTTTTTCCCCGTTGGACTGGGGTGCCGATAATTCAATTCAGAGTCTTTTCTTATTCGAAGGAGAGGTCTTCTTCAGAAGACGTTACATCCCAAATATGTTCGTCCTCTTCTGCTCCTTCTTTTTCATTCGATGTAATAATCAGACGGAGCTGTCAATCTGTGTAGAAATCCTTCTTCTCCGGATGGATGTCCCATTTCCGGTTTTCTCCTCTCACACCAGAAGTTTTTTTTCTCGCGCATTGAAAATAACATATTCCAAGTGGCTCCCACTCGGGGCAACTGATTCTTTTTTCAGTTTTCTTTTTAAAGTTTTATGGAGGCGGTTTCTGAATAAGATAACAATAAGATTTTAGAATTCGAAAATGAAACGTAGTCAAAGATTGAAGGTAAAAAATTCATTCTCAAAAGTAGTGGAAAAAGCTTTCGATTTATTCTTTTATTTATTTCGGCTTTTATGATTTTTGGAGACGTTTTATGAAAAAGAAACATACATTTCAATCCCAATTGAAGCTAGAAAAGTTCTAAAAACTTACGACTATTCTAAAATTGTAAATTTTGTAAACTTTATCATTTCTTGAAGCTTTACCTGTATTTTCCATATTTTCTCTAATAGAACTCTAAACGTGCACTTTGAGCTCAATTATCTCGGTTCCTTAAAAAGATATAGCAAATGCTCAACTGATAAATTATGTATCATGCACCAATAATTTAACAGGTGACAGATTTTTGATATCTCTCATAGGAACCAAGATAATTAAGATGAGAGTTGACAGTTTGGGTGGGTTTCTATTAGAGGAAATATGGTTTAGAGTTTACAGAGATACCTTTTTCAAATTAGGCGAGAAAAAAGTTCCTCGCATTATGATTTTTCTAAGACTGTAAATTTCGCAGCTTCAATTAGATTATTAAAAAAAGTAAATCAGTGAAAAGTAGTATCAAGGTTGTACTTTCTGCAAAGATTCGCTTTCTAAAAATATCTCAAAAGTGCACAAAGCTTTAAAAATCGGATCCAATTTACTAGTTTGTCTAGAGAAAAAAGACTTGTCTAGAGAAAAAAGTCCAAAAAAGAAATCTCGTACAAGAGTCCCATTAATGACATAATTGAATTTTCAATTTGGATATGATAAGTGTGGAACAGTGATTTAGAAATCAAAATCTTCAATTTCATTTGGGTATTTTATTTTCCTTTTCCTTTTCAAACTACTTCCAACGTTACAGACGCAGCAGTTTTTCTTGTCTTCTATGAAACTTTAGGAACAAATATTGTCGAAATAAAAAAAGTTACACCTGGTGGTTGAGACCCCGATGCCCTTTTTTTGCAAGTGGGGCGTGAGGTTTTGCAACTGTGCGGCGTCCTTTCGGGATTATCGCATTAAATGAGATTTCCAAAGAAAAAAAAAATGCAATTTTGCTCACAATTTTAAGAGAAAATGGTTTTTATCATTTCTTGTTGTCGATTGTTGCTCATTGTCACTTGTTTCAATGTTTTCTCTTAAAATTGTAAGCTATCCGCCTTTCATTAAATATCCTTCTGTGCATTTATGTACATGATAATTTTTACTGTTTTTGATCATTATTATCTTCTCACTTACCGATTCTCATTAATCTGTGCATTGCTGCTGCTCCTTTTCAATTTCAAAATTTTCCAGAACATTCCCTGCTTTCCTTTCCCCCTTACAACTTCCCCAAAAAATGACGTCCCTTTCGAAATCAGTGATAGGGAGCAGTGCGGAAGAAAGAGAACTGCAAATCTGTCGTCTCGGCTGGTCTCTCCTTCTTTTGTGGTTGATAATGATAATTTACATGACAAAGGTATCCTCATCAACTGATAACGATTGTTATGATAATCGACTCTTTTGTAGGAGATTTGGTTTGGGGAAACGTCGATTGGGTTGGAAGAAGAGAGGCTCATTCGACGAAGGAAACGCTCGATATACAGTGACGAATAGCTGAATTTTTTTGGTGAGTTTTTGGGGGAAATACTTTGCGTTTTCAATAAGGAGGTAAACTTTTTGTCGAGGGTGTTGAAATTATTAACGGAAGCTCTTTATTTTCCAACTTTAATAGTGAGAGATCAGTTCATCATAATCTCAAACCCCTATTTGATTTCACTAAAATAATATAGTTTTTAAACTAAAAGTTCTAAAACAGCCTCGTCCGTCTACAAAAATCCTTCGTTTCCAAAAACAACGTTAACCAGATTCCCTGTCGCAAACAGCTAACAAGCTCTTCACCTCATGTTCTTATGCAAATTTAGATTCCTCTGTTTCACTAAGTCAACCGGAATCTCTCCATTTTTTGGAATAACGATTGTATCAATAGGCTCGTTTGTAGGAGTCAGTGTACCAGACAGAGCCACATTTTTTATATATGTAGTTTCCGTCCGTCGTTTATATTCATACTTTCGGGTAGCTAGAAATATTTCAGCTCTAGAAAGAACGTATTGGACGCTATGTTAGGATTAGTTCTTACTTCGAAAGGCTAAACTTTTAAACAAAATGTTGGAACATAGATTTTTGAGTCGAATCGACAGATGAAATATTATTGCTGTCTGAAAAAAGAAGGTTAGAGAGTATTTTTTGCAGCCTGAATACGGTAGGAATCTCGAAGCGGCGAGCTTAAATAGCACATATTAGGTGGAGACGAAGACAATTTTTCTCTACGGCTCAACCTTTTTTTTCTCAGACAGCAATAATAAACCGTACTGATAAGTTTAAAACTACTTTTTGAACTTGTTTGGAAGAAATTAGTGAAAGTGAAAATGGCGCAATATTAGGTATCAAAGAGTATCAAAGATTACATAACTTTGAATCTTATCTTCAGGAATTTTGGGTACACTGTCAGTTTCATATGTTGGTTGAGAGGATATGTTTTCTTTGGAAATAGTTCCATATTGAAGTAGGATCATTAAAAAATACTAGATACTGTTTTTCAAAAGTCAACAGAGTCTGAATAATCATCTAATTTAAACTGATTGAAACATCATTATGTGAATTAATCTATGACATTGCTTCGAAACGGGGAATTTCTTAGGATTGGAAAATTTTTGCAACTCAATTCCGGCGAGTCAAACCAAATTTGGGGAGTGTCATCCTCGAACTTAATATTTCAAAATCCTGAAAAATTCGTTTTTATATCAAATTCAGCAACTTGGTTTCAAAACCTGTCTAGTTAATATCTGGATTTCTGAAACTTCCACCTTCAAAATACAATTCGAGGAAAATGTGGAAGAATGTTTGCCTCTGCAATCAAGACCCGACAGTGAACTTCCTGAAATCATCTTTCCTGACTTTCCCAAACTTTTATTAAAATCCATTGCTTTTCCCCTAAAACAAAGGTCCTTCTTTCGGTTAAAAAAGACAAAAGAGGAGGCGGGATTTTGAACATAATTGGAGGTACGAGAGTGTGGAATAGAGAAACGAGGTGTTTGTTCTTCTTTCGTTTCCTCTCATTTCATCCCCTTGTTTCCCTATAGCAACACCTTTTTGGCTTTTTCCAGGCTGGTCCCCTCCCTTTTCCTTCTTCCTTCTTCTTCTACATTTTTCATCTTTTCTCCCACTTCTTCAAAACTCTGCTTGTCAGGTATGTGTGTGTGTGTGTCCCATTTAATATTCCAAACATTTTCCAAGGTGTCCCTCTCCATCATCTGCCAAGTTATCACGCAATCCCCTTCCCTTCAAGCCATTTAAAAGCCATTTGACCCAAATATTCCAAAATATGGACAACTTCTGCGATCGTCTGTACGTCGGCGGATTCTCGACAAACTTGAGCAGTGACCAAATTCGAGTAAGTAGTCTTCTTTGTATTTGGTAATCGGATAGGTAAGGAAGGGTTGGGAAAAGAGGGAAATATGATTCATGGGGGGGGGGGGGGGATGAAATGGAAATAGGGGTGGCGGGTAAAATTATGGGTTAGTTTATTAGCTTATTGATTTGTTACATGTGTTTTGGAAAGGGGATATGGATAATTGTTAGGTTGGAATTTAAAGGGAGAGAACGAATATATTTAGTTTTGTATAGGGAAGTGGTAGAAGTGTGTCAGATTATATGGATTTCGGTTGAAAGATGGAATGTCTAGCAATGTTCGAAAACTCACAGGTAAACAATCCGTTACAGACGCTCCGCGTTCGCGCGCGGTTGGAATAGAAACCGTATTGCCGGTTACTCCGTATTTTGTCCGTTTGCGAACTCCGTATCCGATCCAATCGCGATTGATGAACGAACGGATCCGTAGGCGAATCTGAATTTGAGATCGCGAACGGATCCGTTTGTTCGGGGGTACGACGAATTCGAACGTTTTCAAAATCGAACAGACCTGCCCCAAATAGGAACGAACTGTCCCAAATTGGAACGCTGTTTTGCGTGTGCTTTCAGGCGCGCTCTGTTGCAGGCAGCGTTCCAATTTGGGACACAGTAATGCATCTGAAAGAACTCCCAGAAACACTAAATGCTAAAAGACACTATTGAAAACAACGAGATGCAGAGAGAAAGTGAGAACCACAGACAAACGCTATGCACTCACAGAACCTCTATGCACTCAAAGAGACCTGTGTAACCTGAAGACTAGAAGAATACAAAACACAGATTTCCTATAAAACACTATTTATTGAATTTACTCAATAAACCACTATAAAACCTTTAAAACCAGTGAGCCACACTTTAACGGGTCGTCACCAATCGTGAGCGAACACCAGCGAAAACTAAAGAAAACGATGAGAATTTGCCGAGAGAGGAGACGCGTTTTGGCGCGCACACAGTTTCGCGCGCGGATACAGTAATCCACACCTCTTGCACGTGTGTTCGGGGGAGATTTCTCTCCTTTAGACTTGGAAAGAGGATTTTAAAAGATGAAAACACGGTAGAATACCGTACAACACTTCGACCCCTTACCAGTTCGAACTTGTAACAGTTCGATTCTGTCCTGTTCTGATACGTGTGCGAATAAAGGACTGTTCTGAATTGAATCAGTTCGATTTTAGGTCTGTTCGATTTTGAAAACGTTCGAATTCGTCGTACCCCCGTGTGTTCATCATTCGCGATCGAATCGGATACGGAGTTCGCGAACGGACAGAATACGGAGAAAGCCGCAATAATGTTCTGTGTTTTGCTGGAAACGGTCCGCGTACGGTTCCTATCCCAACCGCGTGTGAACGCGGAGCGTCCGTAACGCGTCGGTTAGCATTTAACCTGTGCTTGAAGGAAACAAAAATCAATAAAATTAAACCAAAATTTACTGGATCGCCAAACATTTTGGTTTTTAGAAAATGGTCCTGTTTTAATGACCGAGTAAATTTAAACAATGTTCTATAAAGCAGTTTCACATTCACTAACAGTTTTAAGGTTACTTGGTTTTCAGATTTCAGAATATTTTAAGATGAAAAGAACTGTAGTTCAAAAATTATTTAGTCTTCATTTTTCAAAATCACATGTTCTCTATCTCCTTCTCATTAACTAGACAGATGATAAGGGAATATACCACCCAATTAAAATTCACAGACTACCTCATTGATAACTGATTATCAATTCATTAGTTCATCAATCTACATAAAAGTGATTGGAAATTCAAAATGGTTATCATCAGACCAATCGAACATTTTCAAAAGGAATTTTTTAAAAAAGTAATGGAGGCAGAACATGATACTGTACCGGTGAGAAAAGATCTTAAAATTTTCAGTCTCATCCGAAATCATCAAGTCATTATGTGTTAAAATTATTATGTGTAAAAAAAAATACTTTTCCTACTAAACTTTTCCCAAAAAAGATTTTTCCACCGGAAATGTATACAGGGTGCGCCAAAATTATTACAACACATTTAAAGATCTGTAACTTCTCTGAAAATACTCGGCTAAACTTGAAAATTTGGCAATAGTTTACGGAATACTTTCTAAAAATGACACTATCAAAGTTGTTTGATGCAGTTGCTTTTGGTCATCACTAAATTTATGAGTTTCTTCTGTACTGCGGCTACTGTGGCACGGAGGTGTTTTGGGGATAACTGGGCCCGTTATGGGTCCAAACTTTTTCCCAATGACTTCAAATTAGTATGTGGACGTGCTGGGACCCTCGACTGAAAAACTCCATATGCGGAATAGTCAACCAAAATCATGTCTGGCGACAAGGGTGATCATCCGCAAGTCGTACCGAATCTTGAAAATTTGGCCGCTCTCCCTGGTTGAACGATTTTAGGCCTGTGAGTAAGACCAAAACACCGTGGAACAGTCCAAACATGGTTCCCAGAATAGTATTTGGTCCATGGAAGAACATACCTCTAAAAAGTTTCCTCCTAGTACTCTTTGCTGAATTCCCCCCAAAATCTACAAAAATTGAATTCGGAGGTTTTCGCACCAAAAACCTTGACGTACTAAGGATATGAAGTCCGGTTGGCCATCCTACCGTGATTATTAACTAGTTCAGATCTAGGGCAATAAACTCTATAGTTTTCTGATAAGGATTCGGCCTTCAATGTCAAGAGTTTCTCGTCGCCGAACATCATCCTCTTGTGTTAATTTTGGTGCGTGCCAGCAATGTCGATTTGCACTTCTGGATGCGTACCAGATTGTTATTTCTCGACCGAGTTCTTGTCTTCTGAGTATGAAAGAGGGTCAGCCCGAGCTCACTTTTGACGATTTTACTGACTGACTTACTGCTCATTTGGAGCTCCAGTCTCATTTTTCCACGATTTGGTGCGAATTTCGAAAATTTTTTCGACAAACTCATTCGACAAACTCATTCGACAAACTCATTCTCGACATTTCGACAAACTTTTTTTTCGACAAACTCATTCTCTGACGGCCTTGTTTCTCTTCAGGGTAATAAAAGTTCGAGATCTGACGTTTTTAGACAGTTCTTGACCGTATTCAACTGTTAGAAACATTTGATGGTTTACCAATAGGTTGCTCGTTCGATTCCGAGAGCTTTTCCGATGCTACTTAGGCCCACCCCTCTCTTGGCCACCTCGACGAGGGGGCCTAGGTGTATAGAACTAGTCACCATTCGTGTAAAAGTCAACCTAAAGACTTGAAAATTTGGGAATAAGGTAATCAAGACATGTTGAAAATAATACGCACAAAATCATTGCTCTAAAAATTCTACATTGCCCACCAGCTCGTACTAAACTTTGATTGCAATAATTTTGGCGCACCCTGTACATTAGGGCCGGTACTACATATACCTCGAAAATTTTCAAATATTTGTACTTTTCAAAAAATAATGTTTCATCATGTAATTTTAATGCGATTCTAACTACAACTAGCATTCATTTATTGTTATAACAAGATAATAGTTTCCATGAAAATAGTATAAAACTACCAAGGCTATTTCTAGAATTTTTCGCTGAGTTTCAGAATCTAATTACCTCATCAGCAGTTCCATTCGAAGTGACCATTGAAATCGTGGAGAATGGATCCAGACGACACCGTGGATTTGCATTTGTCCAGTGTCGTAATCCAGCGGAAGCCAATGTTCTGATGAGCAAGTTTGCATCGGTAAGAAACAAAAAACTTTAGAAGTTTCCACGTCTTCAGGTTAAAAAAACACCATTTTCAGCAACAGAAATTGAAGGATTTGATATTGAGTAAAGGTTTGACGAAAGAGATGCTTCTGATTGATTATTTGATCCATTTAGATATTTGATTCAATTTGATACTCATTCAGATATACATTTGTGTTATCCCTATCACACTGCAAATTTTTGATTTAAACTTTCGTAATGGACGAGTGAATATCTGAATTTCAGCTCTTCACTAAAGTCAACTACGCGAAACGGGAACCAAAACCAGCCGAGAATGTGATGAGCAATGTAACTTAGAATCTTGGATTCTTGAATCCTTAAAATCTGGTTTTAAGATCTCAAACGTCTTCGTTCGTGGAATCTCTCGCGACATGACTGACACAGAGCTCTATCAAGCGTTCGGAGGAGCTGCAGAAGGAGTTGTGCAATGCCACGTGGCAGATGGATACGGTTTTGTGCTTTTTGATACGAGAGCCAACGCGCAGAAGAAGATTACTGAAATGGATAGGAAAGTTCTGGTGAGTGGAATCTTATTGATCATTTGAGGAAAGGATTTGAATTGTGTTAACTGTTTCAGAAATCTTATTAAGTTAGAATCGTTCGAAATTATAAATTCACTTCATCGAGCCTTGAAAATTTTGAATGTAACTTTTCAGAATGGAAAATCGATATCTGTCAGCTGGGCTCGTCCGGATACGATGGGCCGAAAAAGAAAGAGAACCGAGAATGAGGTGTAAGTTTTTTTATCAGTTTCACTGTTTCAAAATCTTCATAATTTGGAAACGTTCCATTTTCTGTAATTTTTTCACTCCTCTTATTTTTCAGCCCATCACTTCCATCGCCGTCTACAATCCCAGCTCTTGACTATTCTGCATTCTTGAAGCGTCCAGTGGTCCCATCTCAACTGTTTCAAATGCCAGCAACATCAACTGCTCCACCATCAGTTCTTCAACCATCTCTTTTTCCACTTCTCAACCCAAATTATCCATTCTTATTCCCACAAAATCCGATGCTGGGTCAACCCGATTTCTCGCAGTATTTGAATATGTTCATGTAATAGCATCTGATTAGAAGAATGAAATTTTTGTTTTAGTTTCACATTTTTGTCCTCGAGGTTTTTGGGGCAACATTCAGTTTTTTTACAAATTTTTTTAATGATGTGAGGAGCTCGTATTTCGTAAAATTTAACGTTTTATGGGATTCGTGAAACAAAAAATTTTACGCACACCCCTGATGAGGTTCTTGAATAATCTTCTTCTCTCTCATTTTGCTGTTTGGAGGTAAATAGGTTAATGGAGGGGAGAGATGAGATTTTTCGAATTTTTTGGAGTTACGGTAGGGGTAGGCATTCTTACGTAACGGTGTACAACGTTTAATGTCACTCTTTGTACAGCGCTGAAAATTAAAATACTTCTAACGAGTAAGAACAACTAAAAATAACAGCTGAATAATGCGAAAAAAAACTCTATACTGTTGCACAACTTGTCCGAATTTTTGGGGGAAATTTCGGAATTTCAAAAAAAAAGTCTCATGAAAAAATTTGGTGTTTTGGTACAGTTGTTTAGTATTTCCTACCAAAGTTTCAGATAATAGACCGATTGTTTTCTTCTGATTCCTCAAAAGTTCAAACATAACAAAAAGTCTCCAAGTGAGTGCTAGGTAAAAATTTAAATCAAAAGGGTTGGAAATTCTAACTTATTGTTATGGTTAGAATTACAAGAAATCACTGTATTTGACCCACAGTTGCGCAGAACAATGTGAAAAGAAGCTCTATGCTACTTGCACCATTTTCCCGAGGTTTCTCGGGAAAAATTATGATCACGAAAAAAGTGTCTCATGAAAAAATTTGCTGTTTTGGTACAGTTATTTTGTACTTCCTATCAAAATTTCGGATGATTTTCGAAAGTTTATAACTCGGTCAATATTATTTCCATTTATCTAACTTCCACGTAATTCATCATCCATCCAATAAAAACATGCATCACATACCGCTCAAAATAGCCGTTATTCCTATCATTTAGTTTTCATATCGGCGGCTTGCGAAATGACTGAAATTCATAACGCTGAGGTAATGGACTTCCTAAAATTTCAACATCTCCAAAATCAAATTTCAGTTAACTCAAGAAATAGTCATTGGAGCAGTTGCAGCGTGGCTTGAGCAGACGAACGACTCCGCATTGAGTATTGATGTTTCTTTTCAACGAGACATCAATCATAATTCTAATCAGGATCTGTTAGTTTAGAGCTTTTGAAACCCTTCAGTCGAAAATTTAGAATTGCAACTACAAAAATCGATATTCTAAAAGCCAATGATTTTCGTCCGATGAAAAGAGGACAGCATATGTGGTGTGATGATGATCAGAAGATGATAGATGAGATGCCTCGTAGAGGATCAGATGACGTGGAGATTGGAGTTGTTGACTTGGTTAGAGGTAAGGATTTTTACTGTTTCAATTTGAGATTTTTTGAGCGATTAACTGAGTTGATGATCGAGTAAAATTAGTTTTTGAAAATTAAATAAACTATCCAGGCTCATTCGAAAAATGGAGAAGGCCCTTATCAGCTGAGCAGGATAGCAAAAAAGAGGTTGCCGTAACAAAACCATCGTCAAATAAGGTTGAGAAGAGAGTCGCTGTCAAATGGGTAAGAATTGGGGATTAATAGGGTTATGGTAGTTCTTGACATTCTAAACGACTCGAAATGGGATTTCCCGATCACTGTAGTCCTTGTAGCTGACATTCTAAATGGCCACAAACAATACAAAGATTTAAATATTTCCAGGAGCTCCCATCGGCCGAATACTATGCGGTTCGCTATGAAGAGCACATTCGTCGGAATCTGAACACGAGGAAGCCATGCGGTGAGCTGGAAACTGCTCAGGAGGCGTTGGCTGTTAGGGAGAAGGGAGAGGCAAATGATCGAACGGATCAGGATTGTCTCACACAACCACATGATTTGAAATCCTCGGTTAGTAAGTTTGAAAATAACTTTTTAGCAAATTTCAGAATATCTGGACGAAATTCAGAAAGGGGTTTTATTCAAGTTTAGCCGGCCAGTATCCAAGGGTACATCGAAAAATGGTACATCGAGCTCTTAGGGTACATTGGTTCTTAGGGTACATTGGTTCCAAGGGTACATTGGATTGTTCGGTACATGTAGGTGGACAAAAAAAGTAAATCAATATTTTTATACATACCATTTTGATTTCTGCTCAAAATTATAGGCTTAGGCTAAAACGCCTTACAGTCTAAGATCCCATGTACCCTCAGAACCAATGTACCCTAAGAACTCGATGTACCCTCGATGTACCCTTTTTCGATGTACCCTTGGACCGTGGGCCGGTGTTACGGTATTCTTTACCAAAAAATCCAAGAGACTTCCCAAAACTTACGTGGTGGAATATGGAATCGATCAAAATTCATTGAACACTAAGATACTCAGCTGAACGTCTAGTAACAGAATTTACCAACCAAAAAAATAATATAAAAAATAACCCATAATTTTTCTTGACTCACAAAATCAGATGTTTTTCCTCCTCAAGCAAAACCCGAAAAATAGTACTAACACCTCACAATCAGCAGGTAACGCAAACCAAATCTAGTTATCAACAGAATCCCATAAGACTTGACTAATTGAGCACACGCCTACATTTTGCATGAGTCCAAGTACTTGATCCCATTTTTAATGTTATGTAGGACTAGTAAAATAAATCGAAGAATTCAGATCAACTTTTTTATTCTTGAAGAAACAAATGGAGTCATATATTTTATTACTCCATGTCAATTATCGGGGTGATTCGGATGTAGACATCTTGATTGTAAGGTCTTCTGCTTTGTTGAAATTGTTTTTGACTTTTCCTTCGAATTCTTCATGCCCAGCGTCATCCTGGAAAAAAAAAGAACTACAGGTTTGTTCTAACATAAAACATTAGTAAAGCGTTGTCCTGGACTTAAATGTGGAGTGCGAAAATTAAAATGTTTCATCAGTAAACTGGGCAAGTTTCAAATAATTTGATCTACTTTGAGATGAGTCATCGCTTGTCAAAGTTGCTTTATCTCATGAACATGACGCTGTTCATCTTTGAAAACCATAACCATACTTACACTTGAGGAATCGCTTTGAAATTTTCAGTAGTCTTGAATCAAATATAAAATTACGATTCTACCGATTTTTCTGCATTCAAGATATTTATTTCTAAAGATATACCCGATTCTAGCAGTCCGGGTGATTTTCCGCCACCCTGTACTCCACAAAGTTTAACAGCTGGTAACGTAAGAATATCTCTTTCTAGGACCGAGATAGTTAGTCTCATTTAATCTAGAAGACTCACCATATTAGTCTCCACTCTAGTCCGCTCGTCAGTAATCAATGTTAACCAGGTCTTCGCTGAAACTCCACCTTCATAACATGGGAAAACCTTATGCGCATTCCCATCTTTCAAATTTGCCTCCATTGTACTCTCGTCCACAGCATACAACCCCTCAGATGCTCCTGGTCCACCAATGGGCCCGTTCCATTCCAGATTAATGTAAAACCCATTTTGAGTGTTCTCCGGGTTCAGAGAAGCTCCTAGTGGGATGGTTAGGATTTCCAATTCAGTGTCATGATTGTAATCCTCACTGTCTACACTGGCATCTGAAAACAATTACAAGTTTTCTATTAAAGGTACTCAAATAGACTTACAAACTGGATACCCCTCGTTGAGTTCATAAAAAGTTGCCAATCTCACAGAGGTCCACTGAAAATCGCGAGAAGCTTGAATCTTGATTTCCGACGTCTCATCGGTGAACTCATAATCGATTTTTACTCTTCCTCGATAGGTTGAATTAGGAAGATCAGGGTCAAGTTCTAGGAGAATTTTGGTGGGACGATAGGTGGTAATAAGTTCAGACATTGAAATTCGACAAAATGGGAAATTGCAAGGAAGAAGAACGAAGTGTGAGAGATGTGGTTTACGGGGTAATAGACGAGGAACTGGTTTGGGAAGAATTATCGGGGAGAAAAATGAGAGACAGATTGGAAAGGAAATACCTGTAAACAATCTGAGTCAGAGGTTAGTTTTTGGTTTTTTGTTGCATCAGCAAAAACAAAATAGACAGGTTGATAATTTTCAGTCTTGCAGGCCTACAGTAACTTTGAGCCGATCCATCTCCTTTCCTGTGAAAGGTATCAAAAAGTGTTCAACTGATACAATGTCCATATAGCAAACATTTTATCAGTTGTCACATGTTTGATATCTCTCACAGGAACCGATATAAATTGGCTCAACGTTGAAAGCGAGTTTACAATAGCTTGAAAACAGGAAAGTATGACTTTATTCATTCATAAACTCAAAAAAGTATTTGTATTAATATTATGTAGCTAAGTTTATTATTTCATTCAGAATTAAAAAAAAAGTCATCAAGCAGTTGGAGCCTTGATCTTGAATTGCAGACTCGAAGTTTGGATTTTACGACTTCCACTATGGAAGTAGTTTGAGAAGAGTTAATTTCCTTCAACATTTCTATGTTCCCCCATAAGATTCGACCCATTCATTAGTTCCATCTCAACGACAGCACGACGAGGGGTGATGATGAAAAGAGCCAATGGAACAGCAACGTCTTCAAGAATGGGGAACAAGTGGATTGCGTTTCCGTTCTGAAACATATATTTTCATGGTGGTTCCTTGAAATCAACACGCGACAAAATACAATACCGAAAAACGTGTGTTAGAAGGGCCCCTAACTTTTACGTTTGACCGAGTTTGTCGTGACCGACCAAGGTCCAGAAGCTCCAGAAGACTACAAGTAATCAATCAAGAATCTACCACCACCTGACGAAGGGCGCAGCGATAGGAGCTAGCACTAATCATCAAAGAGCCAATAACGAAAATAAGGAGAATGAGAAAGGTCGTGCGGAAGAATAGATAAGAAGAGTGTAACAAAGAGAAGACCAGGGAAAATGGAGATATAAAAAATGGCCAAAAATCAGGGGTAAAACGGGGTACAACTGGTTCAGGGTTACAAAATTAGTGATTCCGGCGTACAAAATGTCTGTGTAAATTGAATTTTTCCTACCGTTGAGTTAACATTTTTGGCCTAAATAAAATTGCAGCTTATTTGATGCCAAAATTTCAATTTTAGCAGTACGAAAATCCAACTTACTAAAAAATTTTGTACCCCGAATGATGGAACTTGTACCCCGAAATCACTTTGTTTCCTCTTGTACCGCCGAATTTTTTGCCATAAAAAATCTGTCGCCTGACAAAATGTGTATCATATTATTATCAACAATTCATCAGTTGCCACACTTTGGATATCAGTTACAGGAACCTAGATAAACTAGCTCAAACTTGATAGTGCGGGGGCTTTTCTGTTATAGGTTTTACTGCATTAAAAATTTCAAATTCAAATCAAATTTTGTCTGTCTTTTAATGTACCTTCAAATCAGTCACATAATCGTTATCATTGGTCAGGAATAATCCCTTGTTGGCACCTTTCTTTCCGGCTTTTCCCTTGTAAGCAATTTCAATGAATCCCTTCATTGTGATACTTGCCTTAGTGATTGGGGCAGGTAAAGTAACATGAATCTTGTCGCCATCTTTCTTGAATGTAGCAGTGATTTCTTTCACTATAATTTGATTTATTATTTTTATGGGGAATCCCTTCATTATCAGAGATTACTTACAATTTGGATCGAATTTTGCATTGAATCAATTGGCTGCCCAGAAAGTGACTTTCTTCACCTCCAAATCCTTTGAAACTTGTAGATCAAATTCCTCGACTGACCCGGTAACATCCACATGGATCTTGGTTTTTCCGGTGAAAGAGTTACTAAAAGGTTAAAAATTTAGTACCGTAACCGTAAAACCTCTAATAGAAGGGCCTCTAACTTTCAATTTTGAGCCAACTTTTTTCGGTTCTTGTCAAGGATATGAATAGGTTGCCAACTGATAAAATGTTTATCATAATATCAGAAGTGTTTTGTCAGGTGACAAATTTCGATATCTTGCTTAGGAAGTGAGAGAATTGAGGGGTCAAACTTGATAGTGTGGATGCTCTACTATTAGAGGTTTTACGGTATCTAAAAAATGTGAAACTTACTCTCCAAAGAACTCGGGAGTCAACTCGAGTTCATATTTGTTTGGAGTAAACTTTCCGGCTTCAGCCAAGGAAACTGTAGAAATAAGAAGAATAATTGGAAGGAGCATTCTCCACGAGTTGGAACTAGAATAATGGTTTGGGAAACCGAAAGTTATAATGATTCGAGATCTCTTTGGCGTCAGTTGTTCTGTGAAACAAGGAAGTGATAAGAAAGGGGATGATCTGATCTGGGTCAGAGATAGGAAAACACTAAAGTTTCATGTTTACGAAACTTTTTGAGAACCAAGAACAAAAATTGTGGATTACTACAAATAATAAGAAACATCTTTATTTCTAGAATTAATAGTAGAATCTCAATATTTATGCCTACAAAAACTGCTTGCAAAATTGAACATATACATCCTCATATGTATCACTTCTTCTGTTTTGAAAATTGCAAATTGTTCTTCTCGAATCAATTGTTTTACAAATTTCATGAACCTCTCGTAATTCAAATGGTTCGGCCCGGTTTCTGAGAGATGGACCTACAAAAATTTTTACAGTTAGAAACAGTTTCGTTAAAAATTTGTCAAGTTTGAGCTCAATTACCTCGATTCCTGTTAAAGATATCAGAAAGTGGTCAACTGATGATTTTTTTTTTGATATTATGATAAACATTTTTTAGTTGATTATTTTTTGATATCTTTCATAGGGATCGAGATAATTGAGCTCAAAGTTGACGATGCGGGTGAGTTTACGGTAGAAACCTTACCTCAATGTTGATTTGGCATACATCAATACCATTCTGAGCAAAACTACCGTTTTTCATAAAAATTTCAAACATATCGTATTCGGCACCTTCTGCATCCATCCATAAATTATCGATTTTCTGGAAACCTCCGCAATTGTGTTATAGAAAAAAAGAAGAAAAACTCACATTAATCTTCAACAACTTATCCACGAAATACATGATATCTACATGGACCACACTTTGGTTTATATACTGTCCTGGAATTTTCGCATTCTTAATAATTTGAAATTTAAAAATAAAACCAACGATTTTTGAGAACACTCGCAGTTGCATATCCGGGAGTTCTGGAAACGGCGAATGGGAAATATTTTCCAATTTGAGGATACAACTCTTCATTTATTTCTGTCATTGGATCAGCACCATAGAACTCTACGGTTTTTCCCAACTTTTCCATTTTCTGAATTTATGGAGATTTTGTTATAAAAAGCAGGCGCAAATGTTTACCCTCTTCCATCGTTGCTCTCCAGTGATATCTCTGCCGATGCCAAGAGTGATAAATGTGTGCTTTTCGTCGTTCTGGAATTAAAACATATTTTTTAAAAAAGTTTTCTCCAAATTTTGCCCCTCGAGGGGTTGAACTTGTGGGCCCACCGTTGGAGGTGCGCCGCTGCTACCGGCTGAGCTACAGTGGCGAAGCTAGAGCGGCGCAGCTAGAAAATTTGTCAACTAATAAAAGGTTGCTATATGATAAGCAGTTTATTAGTTAAAAACCTTTTGAACCTTTAACAGGAACCGAGAAAAATTTGCGCAAAATTTAAAGTTAGAGGGCCTTTCTTATACATGTTTTACGGTATCTCATATTCTTCGTGAACTCAAAAAAGTAAGTTTATTGTGACCTTCGTGAAAGCCTAATAAAATGGGGACAATGTCCAGTAGTAAAAAAATAAGGAAATATCAGTACTTAGTTTGCAACGGTCAAGTTTAGGGGCTTATCATATTCCCAGATCCCCCACCCCGACTTCGAAGACGTCGACGACAACTTCGAGGGCGATTTCCAGGATCGGCTTCGAATCAAAGTGATGGGAGTAGAGTAGAAAGGTAAGAAAAAACTGATTTTTAGTTTCCAAAGGTAAAGTTTTAGGGGCTGCTTGGCGTTCGGGATGCAGACGGCTACCAGGACAGTTTCGAGCATCGGCGGAATTCAAATCAAGACGACAGGAGTAGCTAAGCTAAGGGGATATTGAGTTTTTAGTTTTCAATATTAGTGTTCCAGAAGCTGCTTGGCGTTCCGGGTGGAACAACTTCGAAGATTTTGAAGACAGGGCAGTTTCGGCGGTCAACAGGATTGGATTTCAGACGATAGGAGTGACGAAAGGTGAGGAAATAGGAATTTAGATGTATTTAGTTTTCAAAGTTAAAGTTCCAGGAGCTGCTTGGTTTTCGGGGTGCGGACACTTCCAAGCCGAGGATAGCCTCAATGGTCACTTCCAGGATGGGCAGGATTGGAAATCAGATGACAGGCGAAATACAAGGTAACAAAATGGGAATCAGTAAAATTTCGAAATTTTATCTGGTTAGAACTTCCTAAAGGTTTTGTTGTAAATTTTTTCTCAAAAAGTAGAAAAATGTCACGCATAAAGTTAAAAACCGCGAGAAAATCAAAAATTTCAGTGGCACCCCTCAACTCATATAGCGCCATTTTTGAAAAATGATCAAACATTTCCGAAATTATAGGCAATTTCAAAAAAAATTTTTTGAATATTGTAATTTCAGGATGTCCGACAGGCACG